CAACACGCTGATGACATTTTTATGTCTAAAGTAGTATGATGCTCTTTGCTTCACTTTTGAGGCAGTTATAATATGTTGAAATAACTGGTGTAGGTTACTGCATAAATAATTTACATGTATTTAAGTACTCTTTGATATACAGCAACAAGGTGACAGATAATTCTAAGAGCAGAATTTTCTTGACTGATTTCCAATGAATATTTTAGGTTTGTTCTGTGTGCAGGGTCTGTTCAACAAATGCAACTAAATCTGTGACTCCAGAGGAGGGGGAGGGTTTAACAATGGTAATATTAGTTCACTGATTATGTTGCTGTGTAATATGATGTGGAAAGGAACCTGTTTCAGAAAAACTCTTTCCTGATAACAATAGCAGCCCCTCAAGATCACTGCTTTCAACTACTGCTATTCACGGCTATTCAAGTAGCCCTGCAAGAACACTACTATGGAACATTTCAGGTTCAACCTTTCCCCTGTCAAACAGGAAATTTCCAGCTATTCTACTCCATATACTCTCCACAAACAGCCAAACTTGTTTTAGACATGTTTTTATATTCTATTGTATTCATCACCCAACAAAAATCCTAGTCCACTATTCTCACTGTGGGCATCTACACATGCACTTTACTGCAGAGTAGGTTAATTAGCTCCACAGTAAAGTGTCACCATGTACATGTGTGCTGGTATTAGGGCATTGTAAATTAATTAACTCCACCATTAGATACATTAAATAGTACTGTTGAGGACAGTACTATCTTATGGCAGAGTTAGGAACTGTGCTGAAATGCACACGTAGACAGTGACAAGGGCTGGTGGGGCATGGTGGTGCCAAAGTGCATAGGCTATCTGTTGCCTAGCTAGATGGCTCCGCACTGTTGGTATACTCATGATCCAGCCAGCCCCTCCGATGCTTGACATTGCCACCTGGAGTCTGGGGCTAATCCCCGTGATCCCTGCCAGCCTGGGGCTGCTCTGCCCCAGCACGAAGTCTTGTTGTCCCAGGTGCATGTGCAGATGCTGTACTCGGGAGCAGTTTTCTCTGGCAAAAACTGCAGTGGAATTTATCATGCTGCATTAATTGCACTTGCTGATGCACCCCATGTCTCCATAAACAATCAGTGACTTGAATTTATATTGATCTAAAATGTAAAGGGACTCATTTACCATCAGTGAAATTAATAGTCAGTTGTGTCACTTTCTGATAGTACTGAAACACTTTGTGCTTGGGGATGGACCCTTTTCTCAACTGCCAAGACAAAGGAGTTTGAAGTAAGGGAAGAAACTTGGAGGAACAAATTAAATGTTTTGTCTAAGACCCTAGATAGACGAGTGTAACAGAATTTAGGAAATAAAATAGCCAGCCTGTATCTCCAAACCTTGAATGGAGGCATTTAAGTGTCTTTTGGTTGAGATTCACAACATACAGGATGGGTCAACATGAAAAGATTTACTGTGAATTAGGCTAATCTAATGAATAGTAAAGTGTCATTGTATATGTGTGTAGCAATTACTGCACAGTATATTAGTCTAATGCACCATTTTCCTACTATCTGTAGATACAGGAACTAGAAAAATAGCACAATAACTAATGCACTGTATTGCATGTGTAGATGCTGACCAGGACCAAGATTGCTCCTGGTCAGCCTAGGCAGCAGGGGGCCACAGGTGGTGGGGAGAGCTGTCCTGGGTCCAGTGGATGCTGTCTGACAGCTATGTGGAGATTGGGATCTGTTCCGATCTCCATGTGGTTGGGAGAGCTGCCTGCCAGCCACGTGGAAAATTGTCCCAGCTGCTGGGCAGCTGCCTGCCAGCCATGTGGAGATTGGAACCTGTCCCGATCTGATTGGAACCTGTCCACGTGATTTTCAGGCAGCTGCCCAACAGCCAGGACACCTCTCCCAGCCACATGGATATTGGGACAGATCCCGATATTGAGACAGATCCCGATCTCCATGTGGCTGGAAGGCAGCTCCACACCCCTCCTTCAGGGCCCCAATTTCCCACAGATGGGACAGCTGCCCTTCTCCCCCCGGAACTTGGGGTTAAGCCCCAAAGCCTGCTACCAGTCTGGGGCTGGCACCCAGGGGAGCCTGGAGCTTTCCCTGGCTGCTGCAGGGGGTAGAGCAGGACAGGAGCAGCCCTGGATTGAGCTGCTTTTGTCGGGCTCAATTTGCTCCTGATGGGGGCACATGTGTAGATGTATGCTGGGTAGTGCTTGAATTAGCTTGAATTTTCTGCGCAGAAAATTCAGGTGCATTAACTGCACATATAGACATACCTATAGCACACTAAAGATTGGGGATGAATAGGCCAGCCAATAGGGAGGGAGGATGGAGAATAGGGGTGAGTGAAGAATCCTGCCCCTTTCATGAAGTCAGGCAGCATTCATGTGATTCCCTATATCCCTGAGTTAAGTGGCTCTGTTGTTATATGAAACCCTACTGAGGCTTAGTCCTCTAAGGGCACAACCTTATTGAATTGCAAATAGGTGAGAAGGAAGATCCTGCTTTTGCTTAAGAACTTAGTGGTTAGGGCCCTAACCATCAGACTATAGACTAGGCAGAACTGAGGGCACACTTCACTCCTGCTTTTGAAGCTGGGCTAATGGGCAACCAAAAGCAGCCAGAGTAAGAGCAAGAAAAAGAGTACCTTACTATGTAGCACAGTAAGGAAGGGCATTATCCTGGAAGAAAGATCCCCTGAATATTCCTCCCTGCTTCCAAGTGTATTTCTATATTTTATGTAATAACTAGTTAGTTGAAAATACATGACCAATCCTAAAGCTTAGGATCAGCCTGAAGAATGTTCAGGTCTCTCACTTCCTGGGCAAATCACCTAACCATGATATCACTGGAACACAGGTAGGTCATCCATCCTCCATCATTAAGTGAATTCAGATTCCCTTCATGGGACTTAGATGTAGTGATGACTAGCATGTGAACCCCAAAAGGCCCTAGGCAGGATTCACAGCCTAACATGTACATCTCATTCAAACTAGTGGGAATATAGAACAAACCCAATAGCTATACTATACATAGGTTTTCTTAGTGATAAAAGGCATGAATAAAATGAGTCAAATACATTTCTGATCTATGGAGTTATACAAAAATGAATTTGGATAACAAAACAAAATTTGCTCTCAATTGTACACACACAGTCCCAATTAAATCAAGGAAGTTGAGTTAGTTCCTGAAATTTATGATAGAATTTGGCTTATTGTATGCAAAATGAATGTTACTGCTATGATTAACTTGAAAATAAAATTACAAATTAACTGAATATAGATTATAAGACATTGTTCCTTTAACAGACTGTACTTAGTAACAAAATTAGTGAAGTAACAAACACCCTCTCTAAGTAAACATTTAAAATCTCATTAGCAATACTGCCTTATAGTATTAAAGCTGTTCTATATTTTAATTTTTAAAAATTAAAAAGGCATGTAAAAGAAATACACACACACTATTATATATTGCCTAACTTCTTTGCTGCTGAATGGATATTTCAGTTGAGACTTTTTGTTGTTTTGGTGACATTACCCAGTTCCACTGGAATTACAATGTAACATTATAATTGTTTGTACCTGATACATTTGACAGTATTTGAGGTATATAATGGTTAATTTCAATCAAGGATAGCAGGGAACAACTCCTAATAGTTTTATGAATCTGTTCCCTCTGGTCTCCTGATTCCTTAAATAATCATGTTTAAAAGAACCTAAAATAAATGCAAAAAACTTGAGCATTATAATATTTTATCACCAGAAATACCCGTTCTATTCCCAAAACAATGGGAATCCTTTGACCTGGCTGACTTACTGCCCATGGGGCAGGGGGCTGGACTCAATGATCTTCTGAGGTTCTTTCCAGCCCTAATGTCTATGAAATCTATGAAATCTAAGAACAATGGTGGCACTGTAGACTTTTTAAATCATACAATAATAATTCAGTGTAGATTACCTGATATACTAGCTCTGCACATAAATGTGAAATGTTTCCCTGTTGAGCCTGGACACATGCACATATATGGCTGAGATGGTTTAGTCAGGGAAAATCCTGCTTGGAGCAAGGGGCTGAACTAGATGACCTTGTGAGGTCCTTTCTAGCCCTAGTAGCCTATGAGCCTATGATCCTCTAACAAGATACTCTGGTGATCTTAGACATACACGCATGAAACAGATTTCCCTGAAGAACCTACTACATTAATATTTTTATGGTTGACAGCAAACTGAAATTTGCAAGCATACTTTTCAGTCTGCTTAGTATTTTAAGCTTTGCTTTTTTACTGCCAGCTCACAATAATGAAATGATCAGACGTAGCAGGGAAGGGCATCAAGTGCATGGGTCATGGTAATATACCTTTGGTTTTGCATTCCTGGTGTAAAAGGAAGGTAGGCCAAACTATTGGCTTTCTTTACTTACTTTTTTATGCATCAGACATGGAAAAGCTTCCTACTTAAGTCTTGCTATTTTCAATATTGGAAGAGGGTGTTGTTCTGAGTGTAAAATATGTGGGAATATTGTGTAAATGGGATACGACTATTATTTGAAAATAAAGCAAGAAAAAGAAACTTAATTTTTCCTATAAGCATAGCTATAATATTCCCTTCTTGAAACCAGGTAATTGAAAGCAATTCCTGTTACAATTTGCTAATTGACACTCTCCTCCAAATACATCCTAACTGAACAATCTGACACTGTTATTAAAGTTGATTATTTACAGCAATCTGCATATTTAGATAATTAACAAGTAAGTGTTGTAAAACTCTAATCCCTTTCATTGTTTTCCTTGATCCTTTATTCTTGTTTGTTCTTCTTATTTTGAGATCATCACATTTTTCAAGCTTCAGTCAAGAGTTTGTTGTTATCAGTGTTAATAGCCTTTATTCTTCTTATAGCTTTAGGTTCCACACATCTTCAGCTTTCATTTCATGTTCTTCATTCCAGTCTGACTTGCCCTGACTCCAGAGCAGACCAAACTAACAAAAGATAATAATTAAGAACTACCTATACATATAGGCTAGGGGTAGATATGCAAAAAGCCTGAGCCTGAATTGATTTAACTTATCTTTGCAAGTTAGTCTAACCTGGCTAGGCTGAACCAGTTTGTAATTGTACAGACATTCTCTCTTGGCAGAAGAAATGAAGGCACATGCCTGCAGTGGCTCAGGCTAGAAGCTGGGGGGCACTAAAGCAGCCCTCCCTTGCTTTCCATAGTGCTAACCTGAGGGGGGGCATGGCCAGGCCCTGGCATGACACTCTGATTAGGGATGGGTTCCCCCCCCCCATTGCTCCTCACCAGCCCAGCAGGGAGTTGATAACAGAGCATTTAGCACCCCATCAAAACAAAACACAAGCCTCTCTCATTAGTTCAAGCTTTCCTTAAACAACTTTTCCCAAGGAAGGAACAGAGGGACCAGCTGACTTGTTGATTAGCTCCAAAAAGCCCTAAGCAAACATTGTCCTGTCTGCCTTACACAGACACCTTTCAATACTAGCTAGCATACCACATGCTGCCTACTGTCCGTGCTGTGGGAGAGGGGAGTGGGGAATCCCTGCTTGAGCAGGGAGTGGTGGGGAAGGAGGGAGAAGGCACAGGGAAGCCAGGCAGATGGTCCTTTGCCTGCCGTCTCTGCTGGAGCTCCAGCCAGGGAGCAGAGGGGAGGGGCCAGTGGATCTCTCTGGAGCAGAGAGGCCCACCCAGGGCTGCAATGCATCTGGGATGCTGAGGGAACTCTGGTTTAAGTTAAACCAGGAAGGGGTCTGGGACAGATGTTGCATAAACTGGGTTGACCCAAATCAGTTAAGTCTGATACTACATTCAACCAGGTTTATCTCAAACCAGTTTCAGACATTTTCAAACTGTTTTAGCTGCACTGAATCTCTGTTCTGTTACAGGTTTAAACCATTTTCTGATCTCTTAAACTGCTTTATGTGTAATGTCTGTCCCTAGCCATACTGTAAATTATGTAAATACTTCTCAAATAACTCTATTTTATATTTTTTCTTCTTATTGTTGTATCCCTTTTCTAGTAATCTCTCACACTAGTAATATCTAGACTTAGGATTTCTAGACCTGAATGAGCTCAAATTTCTTGAAGTTTATAGCAGAGGTCAGTGCAGCAGAGGCCCAAATGATTTTGGAAAAACACAATATGCAAACGACAATTTTAGATACAGCAAAAATCCAATTAAGTGAAATTGTTTTGTGAAAAAAAATTATTTCACTATAATAATATAACCAGTTAATCTTCACTGCTTTTATGTTATTTTATTTGCATTCATCCCTTCTCATCAGTGTTGCCTCTGGATTAGAACTCAAATAATTGCTCCTTAGAAGAAAACTGCATGGCTGTAGACTTGGATCAAACATATAAGTAGCTTTGACAGGGTATCGGCCTGGTTTCTATGCTTTATGGAAGTGTTTTGAGAAAAATAACTACTAGAGCAAGTTTAGGTAAGCTCTCTGTCAGTAGACAAAGTGTGTAATTTATTAGAATAAAATGCATTGATTAGGAGTTTTTAATAAATAAGAACACACATTTATTATGGGTTAATATGTAGATCTAGTTTGGAAAAACACAATTATGGTTTTAAAAGTTAATTATTAGGCAGCTATATGAATGGTTCTGTCTAATTTAACCATCATTAGCAAGTGTATGAAAAATCAAAGTTACAGTTCATGTATGAACAATTTATTGTTAACCTTACCTTGAGGCCCAGGCTCTCCTGGTGGTCCTGGTAGCCCATCCTTTCCTGGTGGACCCGGCTTTCCATGAGCTTGGGAAGCTAGCATCGCAGCTGGCAGTTTGAGCTGAGATAGAAACTGAGCCATCCTCTCTTCATTAAGAAAGGACACAGAAAAAAGAAAGTGTAAAAGATTTAGTAGAACCACATATATAAATGACCCAAAGCCCAACCTCAGCTTCTGGACTCATTCAAAACATCTTACCAGAGATAATTTCATTTGATCCTTTAAAAAATGAACACTGTAATTTTTCAAAGTGCTCCTATAAGTATAGAGCAACTTCAATTCCAACTGACTTCAATGGCAGGAGTGCTTATACCTTGTTCAACTGAATGCATAATGAATAGGTACTAAACCTACAATTTCTCTGCAGATTGTTTTTTATATTAACATCCTCCCACCATTCAAGTGACCTCTATCTCCTAGTCACAGAAATATGAATATAGAAGAGATAGTGTTTAATATACCTTTGTAACTCCAGTTAATTGCAAAAATAGGGTTTTACATGGGACTTAAAATTTCCATACATTGTCCCTCTGTTCAGGGGTGAATTATTCCCTGTAGCTCACGTTCTATGGTCTGAAAGCTCCTTCAGGGTCTACAATTTTGGTTCTGGGCATGCACAGAACAACCCTAGTCTGAGGGAACTGTTGCCCAGTGCTTGTCTAAACTCAGCCAGGATTCAGACACTTCCCAAAGGCCTCCAGTCTGGTAGGTGTATTCAGGGTAAGGCTAACATATTGGCAAGGTGTTTTGTCTCATTAAAAGTATTTGTATTTGCGTTCTTTTTAGTATACAGCTGGAGGAGGAGGAGGATGTGGTGCTGTTCATACTGTTGCCAGTGAGCCAACCTTGTATATAATAGACTAGAGGTTACAATTCTCATTCAGAAAGCAGACTGCCTTGGTTAAATGTCCTCCTCAGCCTGAGGGGACTGAACCCCACACTCTCATTTCTTAAAAGAATGCCTTAACCCAGGCTACAGGCTAGGTTGGATAGGGTCCTCCTCAACCATGGATAGGTTCCTTGACCTGGTGAAGCATGTCTCTTGTTCAGCAAGCAGCACTAGACAAGATAGTGGAGGGAAAGAGGGAGAGAAAGAGAGGGAACATGACTCTAGCATAAGGGTTGGAACATTGCCTTAGGAGAGAGGGGGTGCATCTACATGTGCTAATAATGAAACACAATAAATTCCAAGGCATTTCAGGATGGAGCCAACTGCTCCTGGGCATGGCCATGGCATCTACATGTGAGCCCAGGACTGCAGCAATTTGAAGTTGGGGCAGAGCAGTCCTGGGCTGGCAGGGGGCTTGGGAGGTCAGTCCTGGGATCCAGGATTGGGTGGCAGAGGGGCTGACAGGAGCTGGATTCTGGCCCTCAAGCTGGCTGGGCTGACTGGGCACAATTTGCTCCCAATTGTCACTGTCTACATGTGTGTTTTATTGCACTTAATGATTCCACCATAAAACAGTACTGTCCCAGACAGTAGTAACTTAAGGTGGAGTTAATTAGCTTACTGCACCCTAATACTGGCACTTGTAGAAGGTGATGTTCTACTGTGGAGCTAATTAGCTACAGTAAAGGACACGTGTAAATGGACCCAGGAAGACCTATGTTCTTGCCCCTACTCACAGAATCATTCTTTCTCTCTCTCTTTCTTTCTTAATGGCCACTGACAGGGGTGTTTGCTCAGAGCTCTGAAACCTTCTCCCTGGTTTGTGAGCCTTTCTCTTTCTCTTGTTTCGGTTTTCCTCCTCTAAACCATTTGACCCCTTTCTCATTGTAGTCCCCCACTTTTCATTACTTTTCCCTGCCTTTTTTCCCCTTTGCTAAGTCCCTTCTCCTGCAGTCATCCCCTCCCCCTCCCTTTGGTTGTTTTTTGTTTCCACTCCCTCTCCCTGCAGCTACTCTGCTGTTTGTTTTCCCTTCCCTTGCACATTGCTTACCATTCTCCTCTTCCCTGGGGTTAGTACATTTGTTTCTAGCTTCTTTGTTCCCTGCCTGCAGAGGGCTGCCCATTCCCCACCCTTTGGTTCCTTGCAGCATATAGGACATGTTTGCAACCTATGAGTGCCCCCAGAGCAGCAGCACACTTCTCCACTCCAATGGAGGGAGGGCATGAAGCCAGAGACCAAAGCTCCAGTCCAGAGGGGCTGAAACCCGAGCAGTTAACTGCTGGGAGCTGCCTTCAGCCGTTCTAGCAAAAAAAGAAGCTGGCCACAGTGGAGCCTCTTGCAGCTGTGCCTGAGCATGGCTTATCCACCTCTAGTGTGGCACCCCCCCGGGTGGTGGGGAAGGCCCCTCCTCTCAGTCACTCCCTGTTTCATTTGAGTCAGCTAGCTCTGTGGTGGTGGATCCAGTCCCCTCTTCTTCTCCCTCTCTCAGGAGAGAATTTGGCCCCTCCTGCTGGGGAAGACAAGTCCCAGAAAAAAGGGGTCTTCTAAAAAGGCCTTGTTATCCCCTCAAGACCTCCCCACCACTTCAAGGGGAGATGAAGTTAGTGAGCAGGGCCCCTGTCCCCTCTGCCTGCCTCCTCGGCATCTCCCCCAGACCCTGTAGTACTCAGGGGTGACCTGGGGGTAGGGGAAGTGGTGGTGGAGTCCGGCAGCCCTCCCCCCATCTGTCAGCTCTTTGAGGATGACAAGATTGATATGGAGGTTAGACCCTCTGGGAGCCACAAGTGGCTCTGGGAGCAAGAGTGCCTAGCTCATGAGAGCACCCCACCCAAGAGACCAGGGACTGATGTCCCCCACCAGGCCATCTTGGAGGACCCATATCCCACAGGGCCTGATGCTGAGGATCCTGGTGGGGGGACAAGTGCCTGACATGTACAGCTCTTCCTCCTCCGGGTCAGATTTTGATTCTGCCTCTGAGAAAAAGTTAACAGTAGTCTTGCCTGAGGAGGCGGTGTCCTCTGATTCAGCTAAGGTACCCCTCTCCATAGGGAGCGTCCCCACCCCAGAGGTGGAACTTATTCCTGCTTCCAAAGAACCTCCCTGCATTGCTTACTCAGTTGAAAGTCTTATTGAGTTTCTTGAACAGACAGCACCACCAGAGGGTTGCACAGCATATACATAAATGGCTCCCAGAACCTGAGCCATTTGCGGTGTTTGCTAAGGCCGTTGAAGCAGCGCTGCACTCCACTGCAGTGATATAGTTTTCGCCTGAGCAAGCTTGCTGGCAATGTTGGGAACTTGTTGTGAGCAGTGCTGGCTGACAAGCTGTAGGCCTGTTTTTTTCCCTGTCTTGCATGCTTGCTCTTCTCTGCTGTTCCCCTCTGTTCCATTGGCTTTGCTTGTCCCCTTTTCTACACTCTTTACACATGGCTGCCAGAACCTTTGGTTCACTCAGTGCCAATGGCTGCAAAGACCCTGTGAAGCTGATGGCACTCTTTGATTTCCTGCACCAGCAAAAGCTGGATGTCACCTTTCTGCAAGAAACTCATACTGATGCAGCTAGTCAAGACAACTGGCATGCTTCCTGGAGGGGCCATATGCTGCTGATCCATGGCACCTCTCAGTGCAGGAGTCGCAATCGTCTTATCACTGCAGCTGACTCCTGACTTTGTGGTAACCCAAAAGGTCATCCCTGGCCGCCTGCTAATTGCACATATCATGCTAGCACAACATAGCCTCCTCCTAATTAACATCTTTGCATCCACTGCCAGGTAAGAATGGGCAGATTTCTTTTGGCTGACTTTTTGAGGACTGTAGCTGATGGTGATGACCTTCTCCTCCTGGGTGGGGACTTTAATTGCACGGTTGATGAACGGCGTGCCCAGAAGGGGCCAGAACTCTATTTCTTAGCCTGGCAGTTGCAGACAGCCTTGGAGGCAGGGGACATTGTGGATGTCTGGCACCATTTCCACACTGATGCAAGGCAGTACACTTGGATAAAGGGAACCACTGGTGGGATTGCTATGGCATGCCTCCACCGCTTGTATGTCGCCAAGCACTGCCTGCCAGTCCTACATGGCAGCTGCATTATTCCATCTGGACTCTCAGATCACAGTCTTATTTGCTGAAAGCTGGGTCTCCTTGGCAGAACACATTCCCAGGCACCCTACTGGTGTTTAACACCAGCTTGCTGCAAGATGCTCACTTCTGTGAATGCTTTGCCTATTTCTGGTGGACATGGGAGACTGCAAGAACCACCTTCTCCTCCTGGAAGCAATGGTGGTATGTGGGGAAGGCACACATCAGAGCTTTCTGCCAGCAATACACACAGCTGGGCCCAGTGTCCAGGGGTTGGAGGAGGATGTAGCAAAGCTTGAGGTGGCCCTACGTGATGCTGGTGGAGACACAGGACTACTTGAGAGCCTTCAGCTTCAGAAGAAGCACCTGCAGAAGCTGGTGGAGGGCGTAGCCCAAGGTGCGAGGATTCATGACCACTGCCAAGAGCCCTGACCCAGTTCTTGTTCAACTTGGAAAAGTGACAGGCCCTGCAGAACATCCTTGACCATCTGAAGACTCCAGCCAGCTGGATACTCATGGATTTTGTTAAGATCTGCCGTCATGCTGTAGCCTTCTATCAAGACCTGCCTGCAGAGGCCACCAAAGACACAGGACCTTGCCTCCATTAAGAACTGGCGGCCAGTATCCCTTCTGTGTGGCGACTACAAGATTCTGGCCAAAGCTTTAGCCAATTGATTGTGTACTGTCATAGCCTTAGTCATCTGTCCCGAACAGAGCTACTGTGTACTGGGCAGGACCTCCCAGGACAATCTGTTTCTGCTTCATGTCCTGGTTACAGCTGTGTAACTCTTTGGACTGAACATCAGGTTAGTCTCCTTGGACCAGGAGAAAGCCTTTGATAGAGTTAACCACAACTACCTTTTTCAGACCCTAGAGGCCTTTGGTTTCAGACCGGTCCTCACCTCTGCCCTCTGGGTACTGTATTGAGACATCTCCAATCTTTTGAAAGTGAATGGCATGCTCTGTGCTCCATTCCTGGCTCACAAGGGCATCTGCCAGGGCTGCCCCCTCTTTGGAATGCTGTACACTCTGGCCATTAAGCTCATGCTTCATGTGCTGCAACAGTGCCTGACCGGCCTCATTCTTCCATTGACCTCTGGTCTGGTTGGCAGCCCGCTGGCTAGGCTGACGGTGTATGCAGACAATGTGACCATTCTCCTCAGCACTCAGGGTGATGTCCAGTCACTGGTGGACTGTCAGCATGCTTATGAATGTGCTTCCTCAGCTCATGTTAACTGGCCTAAGAGCAACACCCTACTCCTCGGTGCATGGACCAATCATCCCCCCCAGACCTGCCTGGGGGTCTTGCCTGGAAGCATGAGGGCCTTAAAGCTCTGGGAGTGTTCCTCAGCCCATCAGTCTTCCCATCCTGGAATTGGGAAGCCCTCAGCGAGGAGGTGGAGGTGCGCCTGCAGCAGTGGTGCTGGTGCTTGCCCAACCTCTTCTATTATGGGCGGGTCCTCATTGTGAACAATTTGGCAGCCACAACATTATGGCACTGGTGTGCCATGTTGGACCCCCCTGCTGGATTTACTCGAACAGCTTCAAAGACTACTGGTGGACTTTTTTTGGGATGAACTCCATGGCTCCCCCCAGCTGTTCTCTACCTGTCTACGGCTGAGGGAAGCCAGGGATTTGTTGACCTGGCAAGTAGAGCGGCTGCTTTCTGCCTGCAGGCTCTTCAGAGACTCCAGTGCAGGCTCTCCAGATACTCCTTTATTCTGAAGACCACCCTCCCTGGCAGCAGCTGGCCTGTGTGTTTATGCGCTGGGTACAGAACCTCGGGTTTGATCAATAACTCTTTCTCCTGGATCCTGCCCTCCTGGACTGGGGCAACTTCCTGCCCTTCTACCATGGCCTGCCATGTTCCTGGCAGGCTGCCTTCCACCTCCAAACTTGGACCAGATATCTGCAATTTCCACAGTTGCTGTAGAAGCCACTTGTCTACAACCCAGCCCTGCAGCACAGGCTGTTGAGCCTCAGGTCTGATAGCCTCGCTGACTCTCTTATCCAGTCACATACAGTCCAGCTAGGCCACCTTCTCGATATGGCCCAGTCGGACTGGCTGTCAGCTGAGGCTCTGGCTGCCTGGTTAAGCATGCATCCAGTCCACTGCACCAGCCGTCTCTTAGGGAATGTGCAGACCACCCTCCCAGTGGAGGCAGCGGCTGCCATCAAGGATTACCTCCGAGCGCGGCAGGACATCCCTGCCAGAGATGTCTCCAGAGAACCCTTTCCACCACTGCCTGTTATCCTGGCTGTGGATAATGATCTGGGCTGTGGGCCTGGCATCTTATTGACTCTTTCTGTGCCTCCTGACAGCAATGCTGGGATTTGTCTTGACGGGCTCCCCCAGAAAGCCCTGTACACATGGGTGGTTTGTGTGTGCCACGCTTACGTCCTTGCCACTTGACCTGACACGACATGGAGGCAGCACTTAGTGGCACTGGCATTTGCACCAGCATGCCCTGCACGGCACACACTTTATAAACTACCCATTGCCAAATGGACTGGCTACCTCCACTGGTGGTTTCTGCATGGGATACTGGTCACCAGCACTCTCGTCCACCACATGGACCCAACTGGATCAGCGGCCTGTTACTTTTGCCGAGGGGAGGTAGAAGAGGTTTTATTCTATGCCTTCCTTGGATGCCCCCAGCTGTTGCTGCTCTTTGCTGCTCTTGGCGTCTTGTTTGAGATACTAGACTTGGACCTCTCAGAGACAAACAGGGCAGCAGTGGGGGGTGTCATCTGCCTGGACAAATTTTTGCTTGGTCAGGCTAAGATGGCCATCTTCAAGAGCTGCAGGAACTGGCTAGCTGGGGCCAGCTCTAATGATACCCTAAGACTTTCAATTCTTGGTTTGGGTATGCCTGACATTGGAATTTGAACATGCGGTCCTCCAGTGGGCAGTACCCACCATCCAGGCACTTTGGACTATTCAGGGGTTGGTCTGCAGTGTCGAGGGCATCCGTTTAGTCCTCACACTGTGATACTGTTTGCCTCTTCCCAGGGTACCAGCAGGGGACTGAGCAGACTGTTGTTGGACTAGCTGTTTATGTTTTTTTAGACTCTGAGGGCAGAGCCTGCAGGCCATAGCCCTAGGCTCTGTCTGTTATACCAGGTCCGGTGCATGGGCAGTGTTTTATTACTTTATTGGGTTGTTACCCCCTTTTCTTCTTAATAAACCTTCATAAAAATTCTGTCTTTCTTTCCTTCTTTCATCCAGTCATTGGATAATTAACATTAAAAAAAACAATCATGAAAGCAGGGACTACAAACCAGGACTCCCCCATCTGAATGCTCTAACCAGGAGGCTAAAGAATCAGGCTCCCTTTTTCTTATTCTACTTCTGGTCTTGTGAATTTGGAATTCCTTTCTGCATGGTGCCACAGCTTCAAAAGGAAGGGAAAAGACTACATCCTTCCAGAATAGCTTATTGGCTGGTTCTTATGGCATACACCAGGAGGTAGCTCTGAATGTCCTTGGGCTGAGGTGGGAATGGAACCCATCTTTTCCAATTCTTGGCTGGTGCTTTAACTACCAGCCTTAAATACACACGGTGGACTGCACTACTCTTTCCTCCAGATAAGTTGTTTATTAAGGAAAGAGCCCTGCTCAGTTTTTTGAAAGATTAGAGTAGTAGGGGGGTAGAGGGAGAGTAGTAGACATGCTGTAAGGTAGGGCTAGGATTCAGAGTGACCTAGACAAATTGGAGGACTGGGCCAAAAGGAATCTCATGAGGTTCAACAAGGACTAGGGCAAACTCCTGCACTTAGGACAGAACAATCCCATGCACCAGTACAGGCTGGGGGCTGACTGGCTGGGCAGCAACTCTGCAGAAAAGGAGCTGGAGGTTACAGTGGACAGTAAGCTGAATATGAGCCAGCAGTGTTCACTTGTTGCTAAGAAAGCTAACAGCATCCTGGGCTGCATTGGTATGTGTGTTGCCAGTAGGTCAAGGGAAGTGATGTACCCCTCTAGAGATTCAGCACTGATGAGGCCATATCTGGGGTACTGAATTCAGTTTTGGGGCCCCCATGACAGAAAGGATGTGAACAAATTGAAGAGACTCCAGGGGAGGGCAACAAAAATGGTGAGGGGACTGAGGGACATGACTTATAAGGAAAGACTAAGGGAATTGGGCCTATTTAGTCTAGAGAAGAGGAGACTGAGAGGGGATTTAATAGCAGCCTTCAACTACCTGAAAGGGGGCTCAAAAGAGGATGGAGCACAGATTTACGAGCACTCGCGGTGCTCTGGTGTGGCGCTCTGGCATGGTTCCCATCTTCAAA